GGATCAACAAGTAGTGCTCCTCCAGATGGTTTGGCCTGTAACTCCCACCAGCCTTCCCCAGTGGCTATGCTGGCTAGGGTTGATGGGACTTGTAGGTCCAAGCCTTTGAAAGGCCACAAGTTGGACACCTAGGGTGGCCATATGTTCTATTCTATGGAGGGAAGTCCTCTAGTTAGAACTGGGACAGCAGAGTGGGGATATACAGTCTTCCCTAGAATGGAGATAGATGTTTGTACTGAAAGTATGGCATCTTTTAATCTAAGTTTGCATCTCTTATAAACTAGTAAGTGGAAATTTTGTGAAAAAGTGAGTCCTGTCTTCCAGTGATACATTTCCTTTTTGGGAACAGTGTGTTCATGCCACTCTGGATCCACCTCAGGACTAAGGGGAGTTTCAGACACTTCTGTAGATGCACACAAGGGCAGAAAATGCCATGGGGAAATTAAAAAGCAAAGTCTGGGTATCTTAATACCTATGCCATCTTCAACACATTTCAAAAGTGGGAGCAGCTAGGCTGTCTTCTCCTGTGTTTGAGTGACACCAAGGCCAGAGATGAATCTAGATCCAAATGGCCAGGTGACCAAAGTGACCAGTGGGTACCTGCCTCGCCTCTCGACCCAGGGTGTAGTTGAATTAAGATCAAACTGCATCCGGCACACTGGTGTCAGATCCAGAGTCTGGAGGGCCATTGGGCAAGGCACTTGTACTGGGTCCCTTTCCTCAGTAAGTTTACCTTCTCACCACCATGGTCATCAGCTGCTATGGCTCCTTCTCCCCGTTCTCCTCATTGATATCACGTCCTTGCTTGACAGGCAGAGAAGCGAAAGCAAATCAGACACACATCTTCTTCTCCTTCCCACCACCGCCATCAACAGGGAGAGGCAGAGAGCAAGCAGGTTGCAGCGACGAAGAGAAGCGACTCCCGTGGTTCTTCGCATGTATATCCCAGAAGAGCAGATATGACTGTCCAGGTCATCAGTATAAGTGCTCCTGTCCCAGCTGAGTCAGGATCAGTACTGGAGTGTTTGACTTTTTCAAAAAATTGAAAGTCGTGTGATTCCAATTCACTAAAGACTCCCCCGTAGGAGTCATATTTAAACCATGTGACTGGAAATCCTTGCATGTGCATTTGCCAACTTACACTCCAGTCAATCAAGAGTTTGTTCCCAACACACACATACATGAAAAAATCCAGCCTATCATAAAAGGCCATCTCATCTTTGAAAACTATACTTGGCAGCATTGGACACATGATGTGCTCAGCAATTGAGCCTGGGAGCACGGCGGAGTTCCCAGCAGGGTTCCCTTTTACACCCTTGCAGTTTGCCAAGAAGAACCTGGGGATACCAAATCTTCTGTTGTGGATGTTGGGGTTGTCCTAATAAAAGTTGTAGTTTTATATTTGCAGTTTGCCTCCCTTCCTATCACCTCCCCACAAATGTCCAGGTTTTTTCCATCCAGGCTCCATCTAGGGGAAGCAAGATGGAGCCTCACAATATATAAATGAGTTTTTATTTTTATTTTATTTTATTTGTAGTTGCAAAGTTGTGTCCCAGCAGGCTAATCAGTTCGTCAAATGCTCAGCACCGCCTGCAGGGGGAAGTTACAATGTGACCAGTTTGCATCCACTCCTGGGCTACCCCTCTTTTTATTTATTATTTATTTAAAACATTTTTATGCTGCCCCCATCGCAACAAAGCCTCGGGGCGGCTTACAAACAAAACCAAAGTTATACAATAAAAATATTAAAACCCGGTGCATCTCGGCTTAAAAATATTAAAATCCTACACAATAAATTAACACTTAAAATAAGTTTTAAATAAAAAGGTCTTAGCCTGGCGCCGAAAAACAAATAACGACACAGCCTTCCGCAATGGATTGTTCCAACAGTAACCTCCAGCTGCTTCTCTGCCTGCTATCTAAATCCTAACGTGGTTTACTCTCTGTCTTTATGGATTTTCTTACCTCGGACTGTAAAAGCAAACATTGAAACCTGTTCAATTCTGTAACTTTTGATTGTTTTATTTTTAATTCTTTACTCCAGCACCCAATGTGTCATGATGTTTGCCTGATGATTGCTCAATGTCTCTGTATTGTCTACATTGTTCTTGTGTACACACGAGGGTTCCCAGGAAAGCTCTACCTCCTTTTCCTGCTCCCACCCTCTTTCTTCCAACAACCGTTTTGTTTTTTGCACAGTCTTTTTCATTCTGAAAGGCTGAAATTCTTTTCCTAGGTTCTAGTTACGGGTGGTAAGAGCTTTAAGATATGCTATTTTAGCTCCGTCCCTCTTGTCTTTGGCTCCACCCACAAGGGAATATGGCCAAGTTTCTCTGAAATGGAATTTGATCGCTGAAAGAGGTTCTGTACCCCTGCTCTACAGTCCATGAGCGTGGCTACTGATAGGTGACTCCGAAGAGTCCAGTTTTGTGTTTGTTCTGAAGAGACAAATAGATAATATCAAGAATGACTCCAGGAGAGGTTTTATCTTGAACAATCACTCTACTCCTTTATGGAATTTGAAGACTTGTTGTGACAGTTTAGATCATATCCCACCCTTTTTGTTCTCAAATTCTCCCCAGTGGGTGCAGCGGTACAAAAGAAAACATGGCTCTATAGAGTCACATGAGAAAATAATTGGATCAGAAAAGTGGGCCAGAGATAAATTCAGCTGCTACAATTTACCACCCATAGGTATTTCTAATAGTTTTCATTCAAGGGCAGCCCCATACAGAGTATGTTATAGTAATCCAGTTAATTTTAACTTGGTTTAATGCTATACAGTGAGAACAATGAGCTAACAAATGGTTGAAGAAAAACGGTAAATATAGAGACTGTATCAAATTTGAAGATATCATTTTGTCATTATGCAAACAAGGGGGGGTCATAAGTGAGATTTACATGATTCCATCAGACATGGAGGACCAATATGATCTTCTTCAAACTTCATGGGAAATGGATTTAGGGAGGTATACAGACAAGGGGTGCAGGTGGTGCAGTGGTTTAAACCGCTGTGCTGCTGGGCTGGTTGATCGAAAGGTTGCCGGTTCGAATCTACACAACGGGGTGAGTTCCCATTGCGCTGTCCCAGCTCCTGCCAACTTTGCAGTTCGAAAGCATGCAAATGCAAGTAGGTAAAAAGGTACCACTTGGGTGGGCCAGTATCCTTGAATTTGAAACAACTCCCCTTGACTTCTGTTTTATGTGACTGGAACTACAAGTCTTGGTGATAGGTCTTATTCTGAAGTAAGGGTGGATTGGATGGCTTGATTGTAGAAAGTCTTATTTCCTCAATGAGTGCAGGAACTTAATAGTACTGCCCCTATGTTAGTGTGTGAGAGGCCAATGTCTCTCAATGTTTGAGAGTGTTTGAGCACCTCTGTTGGGTGCATGCAATCTTTTACATTATGCTCACAGCTTCATAATCTTTCAAATGTGCTGGCTTTGTTCTAGAAGTTGGTGTTGCTTAAAACTTTTGTGTGTCAAACTGCCATATAATAATGATGTTGATGATCCTTCTCATGTGAGTAGCTGTCCTAGAGAAAACGTTCACAAGTAAGAGCAAGGTAGGGGAGTAAGGGAATGTATTAGGACCAACTCAAAAATTTTACAAAGTAATGCGTATGTTTTCCAACTTCCCTAGAACTAACATGTAAAATAACCAAGTGTCTGGCACAAAAATGTCTTGGTCACGTGTGCCACAGTAATTAAAGGTGAGATCCTAGGTAGAAAAAAGGCCCACACCAAACTGGTTTTAGCTGTTTATTCGTAAAAAATGTGGTTTCAATTTTTATTTAATTTTATGATGTTTTATTCTATATTGTATTTTCTTGCATTCATTACTGTTCTTCCCAGCCCAGAGAACTTTGGCTATTGGGTGGTAGAGAAAACATATAAATTAAGCAGTTTTTGTTCCCTTGCTTTGGCTGCCTCTATCCTTCCAAGTCAGATTCAAACTGTAACCCACTTGGGACCACAATATTTGATGGATATCTCCCAACCACCATCTACCCAAGCCACTGTTCTCAGTACTTCAGGTGTTCCAAGAGAACCTCTGCTGGTGGAGAGAAGGGCCTTCTCTGTGGTAGCCCCCAAATTACGGCATGATCTTGCCATGGAGGCCCACCTGGCAACAACTTTCAGCACCAACTTCTTTCTGATCCATGGGGGATGGAGGCACTCTCAGCTCTTTTTTGCAAGACTAGCGGTATGGATTTGTCTTTGTTGTTAAAAAACTTAGTTTAAAAATCAGTCCAATTTATTATTTTTTACTCTCATTTCTACGTACTTACTGTTGCACCCTGCCAGAAAACACTGGCTATTGCGTGGAGTAATACACATAAATAAACAAACAGAAATGCAGCTCCCAGAACTGCTGGCTGAAAATGCTGTGAGTTGTGGGATTGCGCCATGAATGCATTTGGGGTGCCAGAAGGCGCTCCGTTCTGGTTGCTGCAGACGGACGCTGCGGCCCCTCTGGAAGTTAATAAAATGATCTGCTATATCCCACCCTTTCTCCAAGCAGTTCAGAGCAATGCCTGGTGGGGCGGAGTGGAAGAGTTTCATGCCCGTCGCCTCGCCGTCGCCCCCGGAGCAGAGTCGGTGGCGAGCGAGCGGGACTCCCAAGGTCACGCAGGGCTGCCTCCCCACCGCGCTACGATTTGAACCCAGGTCGGGTTGTCCGCCGCTGGCTGGGAGAGCAACAAGCGCCTCGTCTTGCGGAGCGCAGCGGGCTGCCCTTCCAGGAAGCGCCTGAAACCACCCCTCACGGGGCTCGGGGGCGCCTCGGACCGGTGAACCTTGCGCCGGAGTTCCCATTTCTTCCGCTGCTCCTCCCCTTTGCGCGCTACGCTCCCCGACGGGGAGTGCTCTGGGGCTCGCCCCAGCCCGCCCGCTTCTTCCCCCTGCCGCGCCCGCCCCCGCCCCCGCGACAGTCTCTCCTGACCGGAGAGGGGGGGAAGTCCTGCGCGCTCCTCTGAGCTCTCCCTCGGCACCCCCTCGGTGTTCCGGGAGAGAGTGTGTGTCTGTGCACGCACTAAATCACATGGTGTTTTAAGAAATGCTCCAAAGATGGCGGTAGCGGCGGCCGGAGGGGGAGGCGTTGGCGGCCGGGTGCAGCGGAGTGGCGCGCTGGAAGTTTTGGTGCGCGACCGGTGGCACCGGGTGCTGGTGAGCCTGGGCGACGAGGCGCTGGTGCTCAGCTGCGAGGAGGGAGGCGGGGGAGCCTCCGCCGCGTACAACGGCATCGGGGCCGCGGCGGCGCGCAGCGGCAGCAGCAGCAGCAATGGGACGTTCGGCGGCAGAGGGGCAGCTCCCGCCGCGTCGCCGGGGGGCGCCCTCTCCGCGGGGGGCGCGCCCGAGTCCCCGCCGGGGGGCAGCAACGGCAGCAGCCCCAAGGCGGCTCTGGCGAGCGGGGTGCGCACTGCGTTCACCGACCTGCCAGAGCAGGTCCCCGAGACCATCTCCAACAAGAAGCGGTGCGTCAAGGTGCTGAAGCAGGAGATGGGCGGCCTGGGCATCAGCATCAAGGGGGGCAAGGAGAACAAGATGCCCATCCTCATCAGCAAGATCTTCAAGGGGCTGGCGGCCGACCAGACCCAGGCGCTGTACGTCGGCGATGCCATCCTGGCTGTCAACGGCACGGACCTGCGCGACGCCACCCACGACGAAGCCGTGCAGGCGCTCAAGCGCGCAGGCAAGGAGGTGCTGCTGGAAGGTAAAAGGCGCGCGGGGAAGTTTCTTGGGAGCGAGCGGAGTTCGCCGTGCACCGTGTCCAGACGCCTCCAAACCCTTTCCCTCGCTTTTGACTTAACTCTTGGGGCGGGGGGGGGGGGGGGGGGGGGAGAGCTGGAGGCGCGCTCCACACATGCTCGCGCGCAGCCTTGTCTTTACGTGGCATTAAAGTTGGAGCGCTTTTAATCTCTGCTGAGTCCCCGGCATGTGCGCTAGGCTCACCTGGCTGGTGTATGAGGAAACGCGTGTGCTGTCCCCGAATACACCTCGCGCGTTAGGGGAAGCGACACCTCAAGGTTACGGTGTGTACGTGGCCGCTGTGTTAGGCATTTTCAGTCGCGCACACGGCTGTTTGCAGCCTGCCGCTGCTAGGTGTTGTTACTCACAAGTCTCGCAAGTTTGGTGAGCAGTAATGCCACCCAAGTAAGCGGGCATCCTGTTGCAACCTTGCCGTGCTATGCTAGGTATGTCTACTCAAAAGTAACTCCCGCTGAATCCAGTGGGATGCCGCCTAAGAGCGTGTGTTTTAGAGAAATGACTGGGAATGTGCTTGGAGTTGTCTGGGGTCTGGAGTGGGTTTGCATGGGTTCAGGTGATGCTGCTGTGGGACCAGGGCCTGAATTTCTGTCATCTTTTGGAAGGGATGGCCATTAGTCCCGAGAGCCATTCCAGGGTTACATATTGGACAATGATTAACTGCTAAGGTGCAAGGCAAGGCTGTCGTCTGGAGAGTTCCCTGTCCCGCTTCTCTGATCCTAGGAGGCACCTGCATAACTGTGTGCTGTGCATGTTTGGATTGCATGCGTCAGCACCAAAAACTGGTTCTGGGTCTAATCCCTAATTTAAAGTTTACCTGGTACTAAACCCCACTGAACATAGTCAAATTTGCTTGTAAGCAAACAGGATTATGTGCTGCAATGTTCTCACTCACAAGTGTTCACTAGATCTTTTTATCTCTGGGTTTTATGGGAGTGGGATCAAGTCAGTTTGCAGGAACCTAACTGTGAGAGGCAGCTGGGGAAAAGTTACTTGCTCTCCTCTCCTCTCCTCTCCTCTCCTCTCCTCTCCTCTCCTCTCCTCTCCTCAGCTTGTTGCAGAAACTGCTTTTGGATTGATTTATTTATTAAAAAAAGGAGATGGGGAAAGTTGCATTCTTTTGTGTGTAACGTCATCCAGTTTGGCCAGAGGTAAAAATCTGCCAGAACATGCGACACACGTCATGAACTTTCGAACCTATGAAACTAATGAGGCATGCTTGGAGAGATTTTTGAGTGTGAGATTGCATGCAAGGATGTGGATTCGGAGGACTTGTGGCATCTGAAAAGGGGAAGTAGCTGGATAAGGACACGTCTGTGTTCCTCAAAGCCTTTAGCAGCCTTTTGCAAGGAGAGCTCAAAAAACAGGATTTCGAGCTTTCTAAAGGCAAAGAATGCAACTTTAAAAAAAGAAAAAAAGGTCAGATTCAGGGTGGCAATGGGGGAATGCTTTCGAGAGATTCCTTCACTTTCCTCCACCACCTGCCACATGTGATGACTATACAGGGTTAAATAACCCCTGGGAGTTACTTCTCCATTTCTTCACTTGCAAGAACTTTGCCACCTTATCATTTCCAGCATTGAGCGGCAGGTCAGCTCAGGACTCCCTGGAAAGATGTGTAGTTAAAGCCACAAAGCAAACAATTAGACTAAAGTCAGGCTGGTTTCTCAAGTTTGTATCTACATTTCTCCCTGCAACTGAAAGTAGGAATGTGAAAAGCAAAAACTTACTCTTATTGAAGAGCCTTTTCCAGTGGGGTGCCTTCCAGGGATTTTGGACTACAGTTCTCATCAGCCCAAGGGTGATGGGGTGGGTAGTTCAACAGCTTAGAAGCAGGGCTTCTAAGCAGGGCTGCCGTATTGCAGCTACATGGCTACTGCTCTTTCCATCCTGCAGCAGTAAGCGATCGTAAGCGATTTATCTCAGATCACAGTCATAGTTGCTCGGCAAATCTGGGTGGCCAAATCAAAAGAGGGCCGGGATCCACCTTTAATAGCTCTGTAGGAGAAGTTGTGTAAGCAGATGTACTTGCATGACTAGCTTTTGCATCTGGGCCACCTGAAGTGCAAAGCTGACTTCCAAGTACCAGTTTGCACCTTTCCCATGCAAACGCGTGCATGTTTGCAACTTTGCAGTATCACCCTATGCACATGTACTTAGAAGCAGGCTCCATTGAGTTCAGTTGCATTGATCTCCAGGTAAGGGGTTATAGAACTGGGAACTTCCTTCTAGGGGGAGCACAAACCAAAAGATTGCATTGGAGGCATGCAGGTCGCACATTTAAGTTCTTAGTGCTGAGTGTAAAGGAAATAAACGGTTAAGTAATCCGAAGGAATGCCCATCCCTCCTCACAGTTAGAGAGAGTTTGTGCAACTCTGGATTCAATGCTTGATTGAAGGTGAGTGACAAGGTTGCCTAGATATATTATACCTAGATCTTTGTTTGAGCTGGGGCAGTCTTTGTGGTAAGCAAACGTTAACCATGTCCCTGTACATCTGTTATATATAACACTAGCCTAATGTCACGTCCATTAATTGCAAAAGGTGTGCTCTAAATAGGACTCACATTAGACACAAACCCTGTTCCAAACACTTAATGCTGTGAAAATTATGTAGAGAAACAGAAGGATCTATATCAGCCTTTAAGAGAGATTGTGGAAATCATTCCCATCATTGCAATACATATTGTGAAATGTTTCCCAAGTTTGAAAACTGTGGATCAAATATTAAAGCTCAAATGTGTGTGAGTTGGGATTTTTGAAGAGAACTGTTAACTCAGATTTGCTGCTGTTCTTCTCAGTGTTTATCAAACTTAATTGCAAATACAAACCCCTAGAAAATAAACAAGCAAAAGTTGCAGAAACAACTTTGTGGAGAGAAAAAGCTGAGTGTTCATCATGACTGGTTTACAGACAAAAGTTCATTGAACCACAGCTTCTTGACCTCTAGTTTGTTTTCATTTGTGAAGATGGGGGTTCCTGCCTTCTCTTGAAAATGAAGTGGTCAGATATGTAAGCCTGTTTATCTTTTATAGTACAGTGGAAATGAATAAATTGCAGAAAATTATATCTCAGTGAACCAATGGAGTGTCATGTAGGGGTTTGCAAGTTTTAGAGTTGAACAGATGAGAGGCATATGACTGCAGCCAACTGTCTCCACATTTAATCCTCTGTTGAAGCTGTACTGATAGGTATATCATCTCATAGAGTGCCCATTGATTGCAGCAGAATCAGCCCAGCCTGTTCTTTTAACAGGGGCTTGATGCAGAGAAATCAGTGGGTGAAAACTTTGATCCCAGCAATAAACATGATGACATGGTTGTGTCTGCAAATCAAGCACTGTTGCCAGCAGTGATGCAGTGTAACCAGTAGGCAAGCCAGTAAGACGAGCCAGTCCCTGCCCACAAGCTTCCAGTCCACAAGCATATCTCACATACAAGGAAAGGGAATGTGGACGGAAGAGGAAACATCCAGTCTTTTCTCAGGCTGTTAGAACAGTCCCGCTTTGTTCATAGGTGGATCCTGCTGGAAGGGCTGCTGGTGGTGACCCTTGAGGAAAGAGGAGGCAGAACGTTTGTTTAAAGCACCTTGGATCCAGTCCAGAGAAAACTAGTCGAAATTCAGTGAGCAGCAGTATACACAGCTATTTGGGAATATGTCCCATTAAGCTGAGTTGGACTTATTTCTGACTCAGCGTGTATAAGAGTGCACTGATAGATGCATTGCAGTCGGAGGTAGCAGTAACTCGCATCATGGATTTTAATTTATATAGAAGTTGGAATTCTATATATCAGGGGCCAGTCTGAGGCTCATGAGCCACATGTGGCTCTTTGAGTTTATTTGGTGGCTCACCAGCTTTGTGTGTCCACTTGCCACTGTTGTCTCTGCCTGTGGGCACCCACTCACAGCTCTCAGACATCTGACATTTACCGTGTGTGGCTCTTCTGCTGAGCAAGTTTGGCCACACCTGCTATATATGGTGCGTCACCCCCTTCCATTTTCCTCACAATAACCCTGTGAGGTAGCCTAGGCCAAGTAACAGCAACCGGTTGAAGATAACACAGTCAAGTGTTGCGGATGATGAGGAAGTTAAATCCAGTCCACTGTCTGGATTTAACTGCACTCTCTTTTCAGCAGAACTTTTATAACAATCTTGTACATGTTTACTCAGAAGTAAGTCCCCATGGAGGGATATACTCTCCAGATGTAATTGAGTTTAGAAATCCATCTTGAGTCTGAAATTGGATTTTTAATTATTATTCGTTTGTTTATTTATTTAACTTCTTTACCCACCCAATAGCCGAAGCTCTTTGGGATGTTAACAACAATCCTTGAAAAATAATCTTAAAAGAAAAGTTTGTAGAACTAAAGTAAGCTGCACTCAGTGGTGCTTGCTTCTGAGAATACATGTATGGGGTCAGGCTGAAACTTTTTCTGGGTCATGGTGACTGTGTTCCTTTGTGAATGGATTTTCAGTTTGGGGGTTGGAAGCCTTTTCAGAAATGGGTTTTATAGGATGGCCTCTTGAAGAAAATGATAGAAGGTGGCAGGTCAGACTTCCCCTGCCCTGGTGCTCCCAGCAAGTCCTGAGGTCACTTCTGTGAGGAATAGCTCTTCTAGGACCCTGGCTCAGGTTCTGGGATTGCTGATTGCTGGAACTATGGCATGGAGATGTTTGCTGAGCAGATGTGCAAACAATGGAAGGGCAGTCCATGTGGTGTGAGCAATTCGTGGCATGCCAGGAAGCAAGGGGCTTTTGCTTTCCTGGGCTGAGCCTCATCTGGTTGACATGACCCAGAGAACTGGCACCAGTGGCTGGCGCTGTTCAGCATCACAAATCAAACTTGTCAAAGTCTTGCTGCGGGACTGGCTTAGAGAGGCACAATGTATTTGAAGTTTGCATTAAATTCTTCCTGGCCTGGCCGTGAAGTTGCAAGGTGCATACTTAA